AGCTATTTAAAGGAGAAGGAAAAGAGGGAATGCCCCCGCGGTGATACCGGTATTACCGGTGTTGTCACATGTCGATTAACCGGTGGGAAAATTTCCTCACCTTCACAACCCTATTATACTCACAGTAGCTTTGGTGAAAATGTTAGTGTTCAAATAAAAAGAACATTCAGAATCAGAAATTAGATTGATGATAATTAATGCATGTAAAGGAACCTATTGTTGTCACTTCATGCCACTGACAGTGATACTTTCAGGTTTGCAGATGTGCTCCTAATACAGAGGTTTTAAGTTCAAATTATCCAAGCCATTGGTTTCCCATAAGTGTATTAATTATTATTTTGTTAAAAACCATTGAATTTCTGATGCATATATAAAGTGTTGCTTTATATTTTTAAAATGAAATTGATTATTGTTTATGTTGGACCAATGAAAATGTTGACAGACAAAATTAAAAAAAAAAATGAACTACTATCCTGACTGGACCAGCCGTTAAACCCTATGAAGACCAATGAAACCAGCTTATGAAAACTGAATTGTGGGCTGTATTAATGGATCAACTTTTAACACTTGAGGATCCATTAAAAAAAACCTTAGAGCTGGTAGTTTGAGAGCTTAATTTTAAACAAACTGAGGTTCAGTGTTAAGTGTGTTGATGATAGTTTTGATGAGCAGCAGTTATGTCCCGAATCAAACAGTTTAGGGTCTTTATTGTGTGCTCTCTCTCCATGCTACAGATGGGGACTCGAGCTCCAAGCACAAGCTCGGGCTCCTCCAGTCTGGACAGTTTGTCAGCATCCTCTAAACCGCTGTCCCAAGTATGCAGTAGCTTGCTGACTCGGTGAAAGAGCTGCTTCATAAAACTATTGATAGCATGTAGACGTCAGACTGCCTTTTAGAATAATTGACTTTGATCTAGAGGACGTCTGTAGTGCTTCGAAAGAGATTGATTTCAATTGAGGCTGAGAAATGACAGACTGCTTAATTATCTTATTTAAACTCAGTCTGTTTCTCTCTCTTCTGGTTTTTAGTTGTGTAAAATCCACCTTCATAATCACGTTGTCACTGTATGTAGGCCCCCAAAAAAGTATTTGGACACTTGATCATGATCCACCTAAAGCCTTTGTTGGGGATGCACTGATGTTAAAATTTATAATTCTGATCAGACTGAATGTTATGGCTGATAGTAATTCCAAGCTGTTTAAAAAAAAAAAAAGCTAATAACTGAAATCACTAGTTTTTAATGCTACATGTGAATTTACATCACACTATTAGAGTGTACTGTATGTAATATATAGTGATATGAAATTATTAGTGTTTTAAAATTTTTTTAAATATTAGTGTTTGCCTGAAAAATGTGCTTGTTCTTTATTTCTAGATAAAGTAAATAACAAAACATCAAATCAAGTGGTATATTGGCCAGAATTAGTTGAATCACTGAATGTGTCTAATTGGTCTCTCTCTGCAGGTCCAGCAGGCTGGTTCTGGTGTAGCGGTGAGCTCCTCTGCACCACCTTCTGCTGCTCCCAAACCAACATTCCCAGCTTACACCCAGTCCTCTGCCACTGCTACGGCCAACACGAGCAGCACTGTGGCCAAACCGGGCACCCCAGTCACAAGTAAGCCTGCCACCCTCACCACCACCAGTGCAACCAGTAAGTTGATCCACCCTGATGAAGATATATCACTGGTAAGTGAACTTGTTTCTGTGCTTTGATCTTTAACCTTTGCAGGAATAACTGGAGTTTTGGAACGGTGCATGCTTTCATTTGATAAAACACCTGTTTGGTTATTCCAGACTGTCTTGTTCCAAACCGGAGACTTTTCTTCTGCGGAACATACATTTAAATAATGCTTTTTTCCATACATTGAAAGTCAATGCCACTAAAACAACACTAGATCACACTGACGTCACAAAATCCTTTGTTCCACAGAAGAAATAAAGCAAGCAAAAAAGCCCATATTTATGTCTTACCAGCTTGTGTGTTTTGCGTTGTGTTTGACAGGAGGAGTTGCGAGCACAGCTGCCTTGCTACCAGTGTAAAGTCCCTAGTGCAGGACAGGCCCACGTAACTTCCCCACCAGTTGCACCAATGGGAGGTGTGTTGCCCCCTCAGCAGGGCATTCCTGTACAACAGCCGGGTGTTAGGCATCCCATGCAAGGTAGGGTGCATTTGAGGGCTTTCAGACTTTTGGAATGCCCCCTGTATTTCAAAATAAGAGAAGAAAAGTCTTGTTACACTACTGTTTAAAAATTGGGGGCAGTGAGATTTTGAACACTTTCATTCAGCAAGGATGCAATTAAATTGATCAAAGGTGAGAGAGTAAATACATTGACGTTATTATTTCAAATAAATTGCTTATGAACTAATGTTGATGAATTGACAATGTTTACTATACAATGTTTATATGGTAATGTTTTAGATGGTTGTAATGAATGCATATTTAATTTCCCTCATCTGAACTTGAATGAGCAGCCTGCTACTGTACAGTCCACTGTGTAGACATTTCAAAATAAGAGTCATGGGGCATTTCAAGCTTTTTTTGCTGGTCATTATTCATATTTTGGGTACATAAATTGTATTTCATTTCATTTCCATTTAATGAATAACTATTGTAGCTTCTGTCTGGGATTCCCCATCTCAGGATGGACAGACTAAGAACATTATTCAAAATATTATTTAATACATTTTACTAGTATCAGGTTTTTATAGATAAAACTAAAACCATAAAATAATTAATTGAAATAAAATAAATGTTATCTGAAATGAAAAAAAAATAATTATATATATATATATATATATATATATATATATATATATATATATTTTATTTATATGGAAATACGTGTGT